GCACGCCGCCACGCGCCCCGTGCCGGAGGGAGGAGGTCGCAACCAGTCGCCGCATCCAGCGCATCGGCCGTTGGAGCCTTGGAGGGACGCCGAGGTTTAATTCCCAGATTATTTGCTTCTATTGCTTTCTTTAGTTCATTCAGTGTCGATTACAGTATGTTTGCTAGTTCGTGAACTGCTAACTGATTTAGTGTCAATTACAATTTGCTTGCAGATTTAGAAATGAAGAGAAAGACTACGAGCATGCATGATTTTTATGCAAGCAGTTCAGTTACTCCTCCCCCTGCCAATGTTGAACCTAAACTTGCCCCAGCTAATGTGACTGCAAATCCCCTCCCCTTAGTTGCTGTGAGCACAATGCCTCCTCCTGAAGCTGAACCCCCAAATGAGGAGATCAATGGTACCACATCTGATGAGAGTACAAACCGACCAAGGCAGCACATATTAGAATTCCATCCAAGTCAAGTTATTAAGAATGACATTGGAGATAAGAACTTCTCAATCCTTATTGATGAGGCTAGATATTGCTGAGTAGAAGAGCAAATGGCAGTGACTGTGAGGTAATGCATGCCATTTTTAGTGCTTTTTATAATGTACTAATAATGTTCACTAATCTGATTTCTTGATGCATGTAGATTTCTTGATGACCATGGGGAGCTTCAGGAAAGGTTCCTTGCAACTAAGCACATCAACGATTGTACATCTGCTGGAATTAAAGAAGCTTTGGTTGATGTGTTGGATTATCATGGTTTGCAGATTTCTAGGCTACGTGGACAGGGTTATGATGGGGCTTCAAATATGAGAGGAGAATTCAATGGTTTGCAAAAATTGGTTAGAGATGAAGCTCCATATGCATTTTATGTTCATTACTTTGCTCACCAGTTGCTGTTGGTGGTTGTCAATGTTGCTCAATGTAGTCCTGCTATTGCTGATTTCTTCAACTATATCCCACTTATAGTGACTCAAGTGCGTTCATCTTGCAAGAGGAAAGATGCATTACTGGCCAAACATCAAGACGAATTGTTAGATTTGATGGAGAATGGAAAGATTTCATCCGGAACCTGGTTGGATCAAGAATCTAGCCTAACAAGACAAGGAGATACTCGTTGGGGCTCACATCTTAGAACCTTGCTTCGCATATTCACAATGTGGAATGCTGTGGTGGATGTGCTAGGAATTGTAGTGGTTGATGCTCGGGAACACGCTTGTCAAGGTGGAGCTTCAGGTTTGCTTATTAAGATGGAATGCTTTGAATTTGTGGTCATCATGTTTTTCTCAATAAACTTGTTCAACACCACAAATTATCTATCACAAGCTTTGCAAAGAAAGCCATGCATTTGATCTTAGATGTGAAAGAATGCTTGCAAGACATGAGGGACAATGGGTGGGAGTCTTTATTCAGCCAAGCCAAGAGCTTTTGTGAGGCACATGACATTGATGTGCCAAATATGGATGATCTTGTTGGAGCTATGGGTCAATCCGTTCGCACTAAGAATAAGGTGACTCGACTTCACTATTACAAGGTTAGCATATTCAATGTTGCCATTGATGCAACTATCACTGAGATGAATCATCGATTCACTGAAGTTTCCACCGAGTTTATTGGATTGTATGTCTTGTCTTAATCAGCAAACAACTTCTCAAAGTTTAATGTTGACAAACTAATTCGGCTTGCTGAAATTTATGCTGAGGACTTTACAAAAGCTGACCGGTTGTTGCTAAGATTTGACCTTCCAAGATTCCTTATGAACATTAGGAGAAGTGAGGAATTTAATGGATGCCGAGATATGTCCACACTTGCTCGATTGATGGTTCAAACAAGGAAACACACATCTTTCTGGTTGGTATATCGCCTCATTGAGTTGGCGCTGATTCTTCCTAATCCTATGGCAACTGCACCAGTTGAGTGAATATTTTCGGTAATGAAGATCATCGAGACAGATTTGCACAATGAGGTATCAAATGAGTGTCTAAATGATTTAATGGCGTGCTACTGCGATAAAGAGATATTCAGAAGCAATGAAGCATTCATGATGATCAAATCATGATAGAATTCCAGAAAATGAGGGATCATAAAGGACATTTGCCTCATGAGTTTAATGTGATTTAGAGGTATATGTCAGTTTTGGTAGTGTTAATAGTCAACCGTGGATGCCTTGCTATTATACCACTAAAAATTGTGTTAAATTGGAGTATTGGACAGATGGCTTGCGTCTGGTCACTTGGGCATACATTTCTATATTATGTTTTGGAGGGGTTCTACCATAGCATTAGTAAGAAACAACACCATATCATTGTTTTGGTCTTTTAATTGTTGCTTCTCTACTACTTGATGTATTGTGTGTAAACTGTATGAAACTTTGTGGTATGGTCAAATATGTTACTAGTATTGGGCTCAAAAGAATTCATTTCATTTTGAGCACATGTTTGGCAGATATTGGCTGTTTAAATTGGCAATACCAAATTTTTAGTTCAAAATTTGATATTTTTCAAAAAATTCAGCAAAGTTCCAGTAAGTTTCCAATAATATCTGGGAAATTTTGAGCTTATTTGGACAAAAGAATTAGCAGATAATGGCCATTTTGCTAGCCAGATTCAAATTTTGGTTAAAAAATTGATATTTAATAAAAATATCAGAAAAAATCCAGTAAATACCACATCTTTCCAGTAATAATCTGGGAAAATTTGAGCTTATTTGGACAAAAGGATTACCAGAATCTGGCTATTTTGCTTGACATATTCAGATTTAGTTTAGAAGATATTTTTCAAAAGATCCAGAAACATTTTCAGTAAATACTACATGTCTTGGGTAGTGATCTGCGGAATTTTGAGCTTATTTGGACAGCAGGATTAGGAGGTACTCCCTCCGTCCGAAAAAGCTTGTCCCTCAAATGGATGTATCTAGCACTAACTTGATGCTAGATACATCCATTTGAGGGACAAGCTTTTTCGGTCGGAGGGAGTAATAAACAGTGTCTACAGTGTATGGGATCGGGATGATATGTAATGAACCACTTCCGTAGTTCTGTTTAATACATATGGCCCAGCTGTTGTAGAAGATGATGAAGAACGCATTGGTTTAGGCTATTATTTTACAAGATCTTGCGGCTACTTATGCACACCTCGCTTACTATAGTGCTGATTCCTCATCTCTAGAGATGGAAATCACACCATACCCTTTACTTCAGCAATGAGTTTCCATCTTTATAATAGCTACACACTTACACATGTTGTAGGCTCCAGGAAAATTACTTGCTAACACCGTACTGTAAGCTGGCTGCATTTTTTATGCAGAGAGGGCACTAATACTTGCTTTAATCAAAAAGTTGGAGCTGGAGAGTACAATTACAGTTCTAGACTAGACCATATTCTTATTTCTGGTCCATGTTTCCATCATTACAATTCCGTGGAAGGCCATGGCATTTTCCACTGCCATGTGGAGGATTGTGGGATAATGAATCATTTCAGAAGAGGGTGTTCGAAAAATGTCTCAAAGTAAAGAAGGGTGAAAACTTTTCTTTATTGAGAGCAAAGTGGATAACATACAAGATTTGCTTACTAGTTATCCATAGGTGGAAAGGAGGGAGAAGTAGTTAGCTAGAAGGATTCAATCATATTCCAGTTTATATTATATTGACCAGAATACCTGAACTTCTAGTCCCTAATACCACATAATCAGCTGCTAGGTACCTCCAGAAATCCATGGACGGCTACAGAGTGTAGGTGAGTAATATTTATGTTATGTAACATTATTCCATAACTTGACTTTTCACCCTACAATATACAAGGTGAAACAAGGGTACATTATATTCTCATTCTGTAAACATAGCGAAACTTGTTGAACTACTGTATTTCTTAGTTTTCCATCAGATGCATGACTATTACTTTTCTAGTTTCTTACCTATGAACACTCTCTTTAGTTGTTTTACTGTAGAAATCAGTGAAGATCTAAATTTCTTCCCTTGTATTCTTAAGCATCTATTTGTATCTTATAATTTTCACATGGAGGAATTCTGTCCTTGGTTGGATACTTTCACTGAACTTGCTACATAGCTAGCTTTATGTTCAAGTGTACATGCATGTTAACTACTTCAACAGGAAAGATAATTAATAAAATAAAATATGTGTTTATGCATACTAACTTCCATAATATTCTTCATTGTGTTTTCAATTTTTAGAGCAGATTGGTTAGAGTTTCTAGTTTCTACACCATACCTAGTTCAGATGAAGCTGTCCTTTTCTACACTAACTACCAAATTTTACTGCACTGCGAATATTATAGTAGGTTGTGATACACCTCCTCACATGATAGACTGCTATGCAACTTGATAGACCTCCTTACATGATAGACCACTTTGCAACTATGTAGTCCGGTCCTTGGCTAAGTCTGTAGTTGAGGAAAAAAAAACTGTGTAATCTGATCTTCTCCCTGCGTTCTGTAAATCGAAGGCCCAAATTTCTTTGCATTTGCTGTGTACCCATTAGCTCATTCCATACACAGACGACCTACTTAACAGGCCTTCTGCATATACAATCTACGACGGCAAACAAAAACACAAGCACTGTACCTGATCCACTTGCAGTGGAGCTGATAATTAATTAACACAAATAACAAACACCTGCAGTGGAGCCGCAGCGAAGCGTGCCTTCCCATTTAGTACTCCACTACTCCGTGCAGACACCTCACTCAGCAGTCAGAATCAACTACGCAAGCAATTATTTCACCCTCAACGATGAGAAAATACCATGTTTATCTATAACAATCCGTGATGGTGGATCCTCATTACAATGGTGCATTACAGTAGTAGCAACCCTCTAGAGTTGATCTCTTGGTGTAGATTATAAAAAGAGAGTACTGAAGGAAGGTCCCCGAATCAAATAGTACGGTACAGCCAATTAAAGAGCAAAGTTGTAAAGAAGAATAGAAAATACATGACGATACAATGCTGATTAGGGTTCTGTCTTCGGAACAGAAAAATTCCATGGCAGCTTGAAGAATTTCAGGCCATGAATGCTTGTATAGCACGCGCTAGCTTGTCAAACAGTTGGAAACAAGTAACTCTGCTCTTACAAAATAAAAAGAGAACAAAGACCACCCAAAGACCAAGGATAAATCCTGCAGCCAGGCCAAGATAGAAAAACCTCGCCTCTACTTGATGCTTGTCAAGATCCCCTCCAAATACCTTAGGCCCTGAACAGTTCCTCGAAAGAGGAGGCCCACAAAGGTATTTGTTGCCGATGTACGATGAATTTGGATCAATGAGCGTCTGGAGCTGATTCCCGGTGGGAATTCTTCCTGATAGATTATTGTATGACAGGTTCATCTTGCTTAACATTGTCATGTCTGAGAAACCAGAAGGAATTTCTCCAGAGAGTTCATTGCATGACAGGTCGAGAGACTCCAATGATCCAAGAAAGCCAATATTCTCTGGGATCTTACCGGACAACCGATTATAGGAGATGTTCAGGTTCTTCAGATTAACTAGAGATGTTATTTCAGCTGGAATATCTCCAACTAAATTGTTGCAGGACAAGTCAAGACCAACCATATAAATGATGTTGCTAGTGTAATCAAGGTATTGACCTTTCATTACCACTTCTAAGCTATCATCATATTTTGCTCCAGCGTACGTGTCAGGGTTTGCTGGCCTTTCGTAGCTCCACGTTAAAGGGTTACCTTGTGATTGTGTCTGATCCTCAACCATAGCTTTCAAGTTACCCAATGTATGAGGTATTGATCCTGATATTCTGTTATCTGCAAGGTCCAAGTATTGCAGGTATCCAAGGTGTGTGACCTCAATTGGAATAGAACCAGAAAACACATTATGCCGCAGCCGGAGATAAGACAAATCTGGCAATTTCTTGGCTATCCATGTTGGTAACTCTCCATCAAATTTGTTATTGGCAAGATCAAGTAGAATCAACTCTGGGCAGCTCTGTAAGAATGAAGGGAATTCACCAGAAAGGTTGTTTTCATTTAAAATTATAGCTTTAATGAATCTTCCTTCGGATACCTCTGGACAGAGGGGAAATTGTCCTACAAGACAGTTCTTTGCGAGGTCCAGAACTTGCAGTAACTGCAACTGACAAATATATGGTGGTATAGTGCCATTGATACTATTCTCAGAAAGCAATAAATCCATGAGGGATGGAGCCCAAAATTGTTGCGGTAGTGGCCCTGATAAAGAGTTTCTGGAAATGTCAAGCTCTATCAAATGCCTTGGTAGGTGCGGTAGAGTACCAGTGAGGTTATTGGAGTTGAGGTCAAATATTAGAGCAGAAGGCATAAATTCAAGTGTCCTTGGTAACCTGCCACTGATCTGATTACAAGAGATGTTCAAATATTGAACATTTGAAAATACAGTCCAAAACCAATCTGGGAGATGATCAACTATGCTTGCATCAGAAATGTCAAGATTAGTAATGTTGCTCTGCCCTTTAAGCCACAAAGGAAACTGAGGTCCAACTTCGCTCCGAGGGAAATAAGCCAGATGCAGTTTAAAGGGAGGAATCCAGTGCGAGTTGATCATCATGTGTAGGGAGTTGTAAGACAAGTCCAGTTCCTCCAAATTCACTGAACTGGCGAAATGTTCCTCCGATATAGAGCCATTTAACTGATTACCATCGAGATACAACTGGTTGAGTTTGCTGAGCATACCAATTTCAATAGGTATTGATCCTACAAGCCTATTTGAAGAGAGTTGAAGAATGCTCAAATTAGTCCATTGGTTAATCCACTTTGGAATTTCCCCACTGATATTGGTACAAGATAGATCTAGCAACTCTATCTTACTCCATGCGCACTGAGGCAACCCCTTCAAAACTTCTGAAATGTCTTGGTTGATCGGATTTGACCACAGTGTTAGCACTCTCAAATTGCACAGATTGTTCAGCATTTCGGTTCTTACACCTGTGAGGTAATTGCCTCCAAGTTTAAGTACCTCAAGGGAGGTCATATTTCCCATTGCATCCAGAAAAGGTTCAGAAATTATGTTATTCGTGAGATCAAGATGCCTGATGGTGCCAACATCCCAGAACCAGTAGGTTGGATTCAAGGTGTCAACCCCGTTTTCTGTTAGATCAAGCATCTCAAGTGATGTGAGGTTAGAATGCAGAATAGGTGTGTGTGGAAAGATAAGATAACATTCAGAAAGACGAAGTGCTCTCAGATTAGAAAGCATGCTAAGCACTTGAACCCAGTTGCCAACAGCGGTGAGATTCACACCACTCATGTCGAGAAACCTTAGCGAAGGAAGACGTGGTAACCACGATATATCCTCAGCATGCAATATATTATCATCAGCATAATGCACATTAGGATTCCAAATGTTGTTGAGGTCAAGATATAGTAACCTGGAGAGGTTGCCAAGTTGAGGGGGCACCTTCCCGTCGAAATCCATGGAGGAGAGGTTGAGATATACCAAGCTCGGGAGAGAGCCCAAGAATCTTGGTATCGGCACGCCTACTCCCCCAAGATAGTTCCCACTGAGATCTAGGTGCTCCAAATGACGCAGAACAAGCAAGGAAGAACTTATCTCTCCACGCATCCCATGAGAGTTGTTGGAGAACACGGGAGCGAACAGATCATCCAAGAAGAAACTGTTGCGGAGGTTGAGCTCGACAACATGGCCTGTTGTGTTGCTGCACCTGACGCCGCCCCAGAGGCAGCAGTCCTGGCCACTCCACGAGGCGAGGAGGCCCTGCGGATCTTTTCTGATGCCGGCTCGAAATGAGAGCAGCGCATCCCTCTCATCTGTGAAGCACCCACTGCCGGCTTCTTGTGCATAGACAGAGGAGGAGGCGGCCGTGGTGGGCCTGGTGGCTAGCACAAGCAGGAGCCAACAGGAGACTGCAGCTGCATCCATGGATGGAGGATGTCTGGGTTTGGGAAGGGGGTTGTTGTTCTGTGGCTTCGGTAAGCCAGTCAACCAGTATTTATATCTGAAGAAAGGTAGTAGGATTCTGTGGCTTTGCTTAGGCCAGCCAACCAGTACTTCTCTGAAGAAAGATACTACTAGTAATTGCATGCTGAAAAAGCGAGTCAACCATGAGGCTATCAGAAAGAGAAATTCTTGTCCCTACATTTAAAGTTCCTGATTGAGGGCAACAGCAAACGACGTCCTCTTACCTTGACTTGACTTGCAGTCAACCTCCTTAAGAATAACCATTTCCTCTCTTTCCATATCCTCCTGCGTACCAGAATCACCATGGTGTCAAAGTCCTCCTTCAGTTTTTCTGGGGCCCTCTTCTTGCATGTAGCCACCACCATTCATCAGGTCTCTCTGGGAAGAGGGCATTCCGCGCCAGCCCAATCGCCTACCTTAGACCAAACCTGCGGCTGAAAACCATCCTTGTTAGTTCGCTGAAGGCTTCGAAACTTTACACGCGAGGGAATTAACTCATCGAGCAGCGGTTCGTAAGCGCTCGTGCAGTCACAAATCACAACAAACCGACGCCTGTGTCTATTCCTTTGTGCGAATGTACATGCAGCTATTCATCATACAAATAAGCAAATGCAATACTCGCATGTTTCGAGAACCAAGTTTTGTATTAGCTCATGTTGAGTTGATCTGCTGATACATGCGCGCTCTCCTTGCAGAGGGAGATCGACAGGAAGAACCTTCCTGGAAGGCGTGCCTTTGCTTCAGCGAGCGGCGTTGCGAGCTCATGAAGCAAGGGGGGCGTTGCGCGACCGCCCCTGCATTTCTGCGGATTGCGGATGCCAGCGAATCTGAATAAGAAACGGAGGAACGATGCTCAAGATTCGTTCTTCCTGGAGAAGATAAACCTTTGGCAGATGCTTTTGCGCCATGATTGGCTCCCTTTGTTCGTCCAGTAAATACTACAAAACTGCCGGGCTGGACGCTGGGCGCTAGCTAGCTACTTGATTAACTTGGTATATACATTGTCGTTGATCGTGCGTAGTCTTCGTTAGGTTCTGTCAGCAATCGTGTTTTTACATCACTTGGATACTTTCTGTTTTGCAATGCCTGTTCCTCCATTATGCCAAATTATACTCCTATATGGGAGGCGTTCTGAAAACACAAATTTGCATGGACAAACACATGCTGCCGGAGAAGGCCTCCTTCTGATGAAGAATAGGCATTACCTGCTCCACCTGCTCCTGTCTCCATGTGTGACATATTAGCAGTTGAAAGCAAAGCAAACCTATTTTTATTTGCACTCGGTCTTAGAATAATAGAAGTTCACATGGCATGGATGCGAGTGCAACTGTGAGACATCAACCTTTATGCTTGTTCGATTGAACTGGAAAGAGTTACATATGTTCTTCTGAGTGATTTATGTATGATTCTCAGATGCCTTGACATGTGGTGGGCAGGGCACTACCTCAACGACTGGAAATGGAGCAGCTTGCATGACAACGCCAATTGCTGAAGCTACACCCGCTGCTGCTACTGTTACTGCACCTACAGGTTCAGAGCCAGCATCGGATCGGATGTTTCTAGGTACATCGACAGCAAGACAACGAGACCAAGGTTAGTCATAGCGAAATTAGGGTAGTGTCAAAAAGCTTCTTACATTTCGGGACGGAGGGAGTATATTATACTTCAACTTTTTGATTTTTGTTTCGACTTATGTCATAGTTTGTTTCTCTTTGTTGATGGCAGACTTGAGAGTGTCAACCAATTTTATTGTAGCCTTTTGAAATCCATCCCTCTGTCTGACTGCATACAGGTTTTTACTTCTGCCCCTACTCTGCGCTACCTGTTCTACGACAATTTTTACGGTTCAATGGATTTGTGTAGGTCACATGGCTGGCGTATTTTATCTTGCCCGTCATGAGGCCTGCCTACTGGAATTAGCTGCCTTTCTAATGGTGGCCTAATGCTTCTTTTTTTTTAACTTTCCCACTTGTACTAACATATTCTCAATCTACCAGAGGCTACATTATCTTTGCCTACAATGTATTCGTATTGCTTTTGTATGTTGAATATGTTGACAATCAAATACCACAATCTTCAGATTAGATGATGCTTCCTATAGACTGTAGCACGTTGAGCAGGGTGAAGAGCATTTACAGGACATTCATTTGATTTTTAGTGCACCTGCGACTTGCCAATGTATCTTCATACTTGCGAGGCAGGTTGAAATATAATTTTGTAAACAAAAGAAGGGTCGACACATAGTTCATCATCACTTCATTATGTACACACAAACAAGAACATACAAGGGCTACAGCATCACGTTCAGATGGACGCCATCACGCCAACACACGAGAAATCTACCACACCCTGCGCAGCCGCCCCGGCCTACCCCATGCATGCCGTCGGCTTCACGCGGTGCCGTCGACGCGGGCCTTGGTGACGCCGGCGCAGGCGTCCACGAAGTCGCCGTCGATGAAGTCGGTGGAGAAGACCTGCAGCTTGCCGCCGAGGCCCCTGGCGAAGGCCTGGGCGATGAAGAAGCGCGCGAAGCGGTGGATGCGCCGCGTCACCGGCTCGACGAGCAGGACCGGGTTGTCGGTCTGCGGCGTCAGCGTGTTCTCCACCCGGTACAGGTACCTCCGGGCGGCCGCCGGGTCGGGCTGCTGCGCGAGGGACGCGAGGTTGCCGTCGAACTTCTTCTCCGGCAGGTCCGTGTTGATCCAGTTGTCCCTCAGGTACCCGGCGCTCCACAGCGGCCCGCTGCGCGCCGGCGCCGGCGAGTTGCGCGGCTTCCACACGCAGATCACCCGCCTTGGGAGCAGCTCCGCGACGGTCTTGCGGAACACGGCGTCGTCCTGCGGGATCAGGTGCTCGCCCAGCCGCTCCACGAGGTACTTGGCGAACTCCGGCGGGTCCTCGTGGCCGAACTCGGTGCGCACCTCGAGGACGAGCACCTCGGCCGCGGTCTCGGACAGGAACCGCCGCACGTCGTCGATGACGACGTCGACGGTGTAGCTCGCCACGAGCGGGCCGTGGCAGACGCGGCGGTCCTTCTGCACGCGGACGTCGAGGAGGCGGCAGCCAGTGGCGAGCTGGTCGTAGACGGAGAGCGACTGGCACTGCGCGAAGGGGCGGGTGACGAAGGGGACGCCGATCTCGGCGGTGGCGGAGTTGTGGGTGCCCGGCCACACCACCTGGTGCACGCGCAGCCGCTCCGGTCCGAGCTCCGCCATCCACGTCCTGCGGTCGGCCGGGCGGTGGCCGGACCCCGGGAAGTCCTGGCCCGAGGCCGACTGGCGCCTGGCCAGCGCCTGCTGCTGGCTCGCCACGTCCTTGACGCGGTTGACCTGCCCCGAGAAGAAGGCGCCTATGGCGGCCATCCTAGCTATGGAAAGAAGAGCTAGCTAGCTCTGACCTGGACCTGGATCGTCGACGTTGCGAGCTCGAGATCGCTGTGTCACCGGTGCACTTGACGACGAGCTACAAGCTGTGGAGATATATATGGTTGATGGGTTGGTGTGTTGTGAGCTCGGAATCGGATGGATCGGGGCCTGGCTAGTAGGAGGAGGAAGCGAGGCGTGTTGTTTGTTGGCCGGACCGACTGGCGTTCTCTTCTGGTTGACCTGGCTAGCTGTGATTTCGACAGATTGTATTGTATATATACTGAGTACGTCGTTGTGATCGCCGAGGCCGAGCTGGATGTGGATTGGTGGCGCGAAAACTCGAACTTTAGAGCATCTTCAACCGCCGCGCTATGCGCCGCGCGTAAAAAACCTGTTTGCCGCGCGCGCTTTGGCTGGTTTAGCGCGGCCGCGAGCGATGGCTTTAGCAGCCGCGCTATAATGCAGCGCGCGCGCCGCTCCAGCAGCGCGCAAAAATACAGCGCGTGCGACTCGCCGGGCGCGCGCGAAATGAGTTTGAAACAATTATCAAAATGCAATGAACATGTGAAATTTGTCACAAACATTTTCCAACCAAGTTCATGCCCACAAGTTCATACCCACAAGTTCATCCAACCAAATTCAAAATGCAAAGTAAAATTCAAGACATATAATGAAAGACACATCAAACATCTTCCTCGTCTTCGTCCTCATCTTTCGAAGACGATTCTTCCGCCTCCGAAGATGAATCTTCCTCCCTATCCTCATCACGCATCGCATCACGTGAAGCTTCGACGGTGTTGGCAAGATCTTCAACGGCATCTTCACGGGAATGTGTGTGAGGAGGCACATCGAAAGACATTCCACCCATGGCCGGAGGTGCACCCATGCCTCCCATAAGAGTAGCGAAACTCATGCCTCCCATGGCGGCCATAGCGTCAGAGGATGCTCCAAAGCCACCCATGCCTCCCATGGTGGCCGGAGGTGCGCCCATGCCTCCCATGGCGCGAAGCCACCCATGCCTCCCATGGGGGCCGGAGGTGCACCCATGCCTCTCATGGCGCCGAAGCCACCAATGCCTCCAAGGCCACAGCCACCCATGCCGCCAAGGCCACTGCCACCCATGCCGCCAAGGCCACCGCCACCCATTGTGCGGATCATGGATCTTTTTTGGATCAAGACTTCTTCACGAGCAAGGTGCGCCGCATTGGGGAGCTTCGACGGTGCGGCGGCGGCACGGGACGGCGCCGGCGCGACGCCACCCGTCGCCGTGGTCATCCG